CCCTCGCCGCGACCGCGGCTGCACACTCCTCCCAGGGCTCCTGCAAACGGCCCCCCCGGCCAGTTGCTCGCAGGCTGGGTGCTCTCCAAGGGAAGCTGCTGGGGAGGCTGGAGGAGCAGATGGGCTGGAGTCTCTGCTGGCACCGATAATCTTTCAAAAACTATTCTAGGATGCAATTCACTATGGCTCGCTTGGTAAAGACGGATCTCCTAGCTGAGCTGCTACTTGGCCTAATAACGAACTCGATGTGATTAACCAGAGCCTTCCTCCCTCCGAGCACTGCCCCGCTCTCTGTGGGCACCGGCCTCGCAGGGTGCAGCCCCCTCCCAGGCTCGGCAGGGGCTGCGTGCGCGCAGGCCCCACGGTTTTTTTTTTAACAGACCCGACCCCGACCCGCCGGCCCCGGTGCAGCAGCGGGCACTCATCTCCCGCAGGAACCTGCTGGAGAGGGGACAGGAGTAGGGACCCTCTTGACTTTGCACTTCTTCCCACCGGCGGCCAGTATGAAGAGGGTGGGTGCACGTCTCCCTGTGTCCTCTCTGACCAGCACCACCGGCAGCGCCTTGGACAGACCGCTGCCTAGCACCTGCCTGGGGACAGGTTATGTTCTGCAAATCATCCTGCCCACGTCAGGTGCCAGGTTTTCCCGTCAGTCAGTAGAAAGTCCACAGCAACAGCCAAACCTTAGTCATTCTGACTTTGCTCACTACCTACTCCCAAATGGAAAACACCTTTAGAGACATGCGCTGGTCTCCAGTACATTGTTTCTAAAACAGGAATTTCTTACAACAGCAGCAGTCTCACAATGGATCCTACGCAGTATTAAAAAAAAAAGTCACAGCAGTTTTAAAGTAAGAAGCAACTACATAGACACTCTTTTCACCAAACGCAAACGTTTGGGATCTTCCAACAGAATCGGCATGTAAGGCTAGAGTTGAAACAGGCAGAGGGAACCCTGAAACTACATACAACAAAATAACTAATTAAGAATGAAATTTCAATACAAGGAATTCATACAAATGCCCAACACCTGCCTTTCAAGGTCTGAAATTTCATTAAGGCAGAGGCATGTATGTCTGGGACAGCTGCAGGTCAGCAACTGCCATCTGACCTACTTCGCCGGCCACCACTCCTACTGGGAACTGTGGGAACAGCAATGGTGAGGGCTCTGATAAGGTGCTGGGATGACTTTAAGCCGTCTGCCAAGATCCTGAAGGACACACAGCCCCAGATTTGACCCAGGACTGAAGACTCAAACCCTTGTTCCTGAATGCCCTCCCCAGAAGATGCTGCCTTCCTTTGCACTGTCTTGCTGTTTCTCTCAGGACATGGTCCCTGCAGCAGGGGACAGGTCTGGAGTCCCCCAGACTCCTGGAAGTCACTACTTTAAGGATGATTGCACCAAAAGGTGAGAACTCCTGAGCAGAGTTCAAACCAAACGGCTTTGCCTGTCAGAGCAGGAAACCAGCAGGCAGGCAAGAGGACTCACCAAAATGCGC